CTCTGTATGTCTGATAAAATTCCAAAGTAAATTCATCTGGCCTGGGGGTTTTGTTCTTGGGTAGTTTTTTGATTACTGCTTCAATTTTGTTGCTGGTAATTGGTCTTTCTATATTTTATGTTTCTTTCTGGGTCAGTCTTGGAAGGTTGTATTTTTCTAGGAAGTTGTCCATTTCTCTTAGGTTTTCCAGCTTGTTAGCATATAGGTTTTCATAGTATTCTCTAATAATTCTTTGTATTTCTGTGGGGTCTGTCGTGATTTTTACTTTCAGTTTGCTAATATTTTGTTGAGTATTTTTGCTTCTACGTTCATCAGGGATATTGGTCTGTAATTTTCTTTTTTGGTGGGGTCTTTGCCAGGTTTTGGTATTAGGGTGATGTTGGCTTCATAGAATGAGTTTGGGAGTATTCCCTTCTCTTCTATTTTTTGGAAAACTTTAAGGACAATGGTTATTATGTCTTCTCTGTATGTCTGATAAAATTCCAAGGTAAATCCATCTGGCCCAGGGGTTTTGTTCCTGGGTAGTTTTTTGATTACTGCTTCAATTTCTTTCCTTGTAATGGGTTTGTTTAGATTTCGTGTTTCTTTCTTGTTCAGTCTTGGAAGGTTGTATTTTTCTAAGAAGTCCATTTCTTACAGGTTTTCCAGCTTGTTAGCATATAGGTTTTCATAGTAGTCTCTAATAATTCTTTGTATTTCTGTGGGGTCCATCATGATGTTTACTTTCTCATTTCTGATTCTGTTGATATGTGTTGGTTCTCTTTTTCTCCTAGTAAGTCTGGCTAGAGGCTTACCTATTTTGTTTATTTTTCTCGAAGGACCAGCTCTTGGTTTCATTGATTTTTTCTGTTGTTTTGTTTTTCCCAATTTTATTTATTTCTTCTCTGATCTTTATTATGTCCCTCCATCTGCTGACCTTTGGCCTCATTTGTTCTTCTTTTTCCAATTTCGATAATTGTGACATCAGACTATTCATTTGGGATTATTCTTCCTTCTTTAAATATGCCTGGATTGCTGTATACTTTCCTCTTAAAACTGCTTTTGCTGCATCCTACCAAAGTTGGGGCTTTGTGTTGTTGTTGTCATTTGTTTCCATATGTTGCTGGTTCTCCATTTTAATTTGGTTGTTGATCCATTGATTATTTAGAAGCATATTCTTAAGCCTCCATGTGTTTGTGGGCCTTTTTGCTTTCTTTGTACAGTTTATTTCTAGTTTTATACCTTTGTGGTCTGAAAAGTTGGTTGGTAGGATTTCAGTCTTTTGGAATTTACTGAGGCTCTTTTTGTGGTCTAGTATGTGGTCTATTCTGGAGAATGTTCCATGTGCACCTGAGAAGAATGTGTATCC